TTAAATTAGGACTTAATTATCAGACTAACTATAATAAATCAAGGACTAACCCAAAAAGATTATCCTATAAGAGATTAACCTAAATAAATTTTTAATATGTATTTTCACAAACAATTCAATATAAAGGGATCCCAAATTTTTAAAATATTTCAAGAACTCATATCCTTCAACTAAACATATGCGGAAGCATGATAAAGGAAACACATCAATATAGGAGAAAAGCTTCCTCCCTTTATTTTCTCTCTATGCCTTACTCTATAATACATATATACATATATACGACATAACATTTGGCCACTCAAACCCTTCCATAATTGGCAGCGGGGGGCCAAGATCTCAATTACATTTATCACAATGACTATTACCTAATCATCATACTCTATATATCATCTATTTATCAATAGCCTATCATATACATGAATTTTCCTTTTTATTCACATATAATTAATATCAATTGCTCACCCTTGGACATCAAAAACATAAGGGGAGATCATAACAACATTTAAGTTCTCAAATTAGGCAAATATTAACTATTTTTACTTGCACAAATATTTTGGCCCATTCATATAGCACAAGCATCAAACCACATTTCTCAGGGCCTAAAATATATTTCCCCCAACACAAAACTCATAATGCAAGTGGATCAAGAATATATTATCCTAGTTGGCAATATCATAAATTAAATACACATATCAAAATAAAAAGAGAAAGGTCTACAAAAGTGATTACTATCATTTGGCCTAATGCTCCTTTCTTTTGTTCTTCTAAGATGAGCTAGCTCCTGCAATATGTTAAAAGAGAAGGGTGAGTACAACCACTCAGTAATCAAGATACATCTAAGTTATACAAATGCATGATAATTAATCATGAATATAAGTGGTCAATAAATTTATCAAGGTGACCATTCAAACAATCACATTAATAACATGTTAATCACATTAACATTTAACTCATGTAAATAATTTCAAGAATAAAGTCAAGTACAAAATTTGTACAAATAACCACATATACATTATTTGCATAATTACTACATGTTCTCATTTCTACAATTATAATCATATTCTCAACATAGCCATCAATCACTCAAATGACATGATAGTAATAATATGCATGGTCAATCTCTTCTTTATATCTCCCCTTATTTCCTCTGACAGGAAATCCGTGGGCCAATAACCGAAAGGGATCATCCATGTGGTGAGACTACCCAAAGCCTTAATCATATCATGAGGGGCTACCGAGCCCGGGTTACCTTACGCACTTATGAACATAGTTTCCCCCAAATCGCACACTATGGGGTGTCATACCCAAAACTAGCTCTACCCAAAACTTTAGGTAGGCTAGTTGGGTCAAGTTCCTTGATAAGAACAATGCTACAATACCTTACACGGTAAGTAGTAACTATAACCCCTAGGATTATTAGTTAATAGCCAAGTACTATATGGATTTTGCATAATCGCTAACTTTTTCACTAAGGGGAACTCTCGCCATATGATAATGTTCATGAGAAAATGCATTTCAAAAACTCATATATATAATTCACAATTATCCCACATGCTCATCAACTTTCTTGCTCAATGTTGATCAAGAATCATCATTTTTTAATCATGCCTCTTGCATTAATTTTTATATTATCACATAAAACCACATTAGTATCATATAAAACTCAACAAGCTCATACAATTCATCACTGTGTATAATCCACAACTTATAACCAAGAGTGTACACATAATCATCAACCATCAATCTCATTACTGACATTAAGTCATAATTAACTTAATCACAAGTCATAGAGTCTCAACAAAGCCACATGCATTACAAACAACCATTTTAAAATTTAGACATATATATATATATTCTTTTATTTTACCAACATAATTAATTAAGTAATATACAACTGCATAAAATAGATTTCCCTTGGTTACCTCAACCTTTGAGAGGTCAAAGGTTACCCCTCAAGCTACAACACTTTCAAAGTTTTCCAAAGCTTGAATGGTGTTAAAAGAAAATTAATCTACAATTGATCATGTCTCAATGCGTCAATAATATTATTAACACAATTTTCATTCATACTCTAACACCTAAGTATTTATTTTATTTTATTTTATTTTATTTTTTACGACCTTAGTGTTAGCCTCTTGAGTTTTAAAATTTAATTTCATGTATTTGAACCTATCTACTTGGTTTAATAGTTTCTTTTACAATAATTTCATTCAAATAATTTTCTAATATCAACATTTTCCTTTTTATTCCAAAATTCGCACATAAAAATACCAAAAAATTGCAAACTTGATTTCAAGCCTAGAATCATTATTCTATAGCCATAATAATTTATTTTTCATCTCAAATAATCATCTAAATATCAATAAATTAATTTATATTTTCAAATTTAATTAAAAATCTACCCATAGGGATTTATGGATAAACTCAAATGCCTCAAATTTTAATTCTATCAATAAAATAATACTCTAGAATATTTATTACACTACCAACAACCTCAACAACTAGATTTTCTCATCAAAAATTTATCTCTCTTTCAAACTCTAGATTTTCTAAAATCTCAGAATCTGCAGTCTCAGGGAAAAAAATACTAAGAAAATATTTAGAACACTTACCTAGTCTTAGAATACTTAAAATCTCATCTGAAGTATCCTATTATGAAGCATCACCTTCTAAATCAGCTCCTACCACAGCAGCGTCGCTCGCTCTCTCTGTGTGGAAGCAGAAACGAAAAGGAAGAGAGAATGAAAAGCCAAAAGGCTTGTTGGCTTTAAAAAAATCGTGTGGGTCCCACGTAAATTCACGCCTCTCTCTCTCTCTCTTCGTTTTCTTTAATGCACACACGGTTTCTGTCCCCACCTTTTCTCTTTTTTTTGGCATTATTTACACCTTAACACGCAAAGCAAAAGTTACTTCTCTCCCTCCTCTTCAATTTTTAATTTATTTTATGTTCCTTTTCCTTCTTCTTTCTTTCTTTTTTTTAATAATATTATTATTACTATTTCTATTTATTATAAGATCATAACTTAGGATTTTAATCTAAATTAAATCTAATAATAATCTTCTAACTAAAAATATTTATATCTAAATATTCCTCCAAAATTACTCATTTTCTCTAAATTAACTTAATTAACCTTAGGTTAATTTTTGGAATGTTACATCACCTAATGATCTTCCTCCAAAATATTACACTACTCAAATTTAATACTATTTGTATGTTACAATGTTAGGAGTAAAATCAGAAACCTAACAAATCAAGACCAACAATATACCAACAAAAATATTAATTTGAAGGATATCACTTATTAATGTGTTAAAAAAAGTTATTTAGTAAAGCAAAAATGGAGAAATGAGAAAAAAAATTAGTTGTTACTTTAGAGGTTTATTCCCTTTATTTTTAATACAAAATTACAAAATATTACAAATATTAAATTGGGTGGTATAATATTTTAAATAATACTATTTAAATTATTAGATATTAAAACACTTAATATTTTAACAATATTTATTAAATTTTATTTTAACGAGATTTCAAGGTGCCTAACACTCTTAAAAAAAATTTAAGGTGCTTAACACTTTTAAAAAAAGAGTTTAGAGATGAATTAGCAATAAATGACATGATTAAAGTCTTACATGTTATTATTCATGAGCCACGCACATGTCACATAAAAAAAAGAAAAAAAATTAACGTTGATTAACAAAAATGGTTTTTTGCTTCTGAAAAATATAATTTAAGGATAAAGTTATCTCATTTAAAAGTATAAAGCATCCAATATTTTTAAAAAAATAAACACATTGCTCCAATATTTATTGACTACATCTTTCATATTGTTGTTGGTATTTGTATCCTTAGTTCCCTTTTCTTCACATCTTAGAAACTTCACCTTTTCTTCTTCCCCCTCAATGAGACTATCCACTTTTGCCGAATCTTACTTGAAAAGCGTTATTTTAGTTTTTCATAGACACGGCATTTAATTTCATTTTATATTTAGGACCTGTTTGGATATCTTATAGAATTAATTCAGTATTTAAAACTATAGTTTTAAAAAATTTCATTCAAACACTTCAATTTTTTCAAATTCTATTTAATTTCCAAAATTTCATTTGAAATAAGTTAAAATTTATTTCATTTTAGAAAATTAATTCTAAACATTACTAGCTTGTCATTTTAAATCATAGAATTATTCACTTAAAATTAATTATGAAAAAATTATTCAAACATGTTCTTAGATGCGTTCCTTATCTCATCCTTTTATTTTCATATCTTCTCCCCCACGCCACCCCACCCCACCAAAAAAATAAAAACAAAAAGCTCCATGTGACATTGATTCGACACATGTACGGTTTTTAATGCAGGTAAAAAAGAAACACTTATAATGCTTTTATTTTTAAGATAAGTATGAATGAATTGACCTTCGCTTGGGTTGTGAGGCGAAGGCAAAGTCATCCTCTGAATATGGAGAATCGTGTTTGTCATGTGAAGGTTAAGCCACCTTTCATTATTATTCTTTATTGTTGATAAAACACTTTTCATCAATTTTGATACAGCATCTATAACTCATTTTGAAAAGCGCCCTGTTTCTTTCATTTTTAATTTAAATAATAACTTTAATTCAATTAAAGATAACTATTATCATTAGTTTTAACCTACATGGTAGTGGTATATTACTTCATATATATATATATATATATATTTAACAAATAGCTGACTACATTATATTTGAACTTTACTCACATTCATATTCTATTCAATAAAAATTATATTAATTCAATTAAATAAAATATTATATATCATTATTTTTAATAATTTTATTTTTGAAAATAATGTACATCTTTAATTTTTTATTTTTTCATTCTCTATCATCATCAATGTCAAACAATTTATATTGTCCAGTCATGTGACATTACATATTTTTATTGAATAACATACCAATGATATAATGCATCAAGTTCATATAAAAAAAGCATTGAATTTCCAAGTCATCGAACAAAAAGAGCAAAAGTAATCATAATATGAGAAGAGAAAACTTCATATAATTCCCCCTTTTCTAAGAAAGCATAAATTTATTGTCTACCCAAATGGGTTTACAGGGGAGTTGAAGCTACCTAATGACATCAAATACCACCAATTATTAAAATCCAACTCTCAAGTTACTTGTCTAAAATTCATAGTAATTCAAGCAGCAAGAACACCTCGATTATGACACAGGTACTACATGTTTGATATGTAAGAAAATGTTTTTTAAAAAAGAAATGAGAAATATTTTTTTTTTTTAAAAAATTGAGATTAACGCATTTTTTTTAAGAGAACATTTTTTTACCTACCAAATATTACAATATCGGGGTGATGTGTTTACGATGGTGTTCCAAATATAGGCCAAATAAGGGGGAAGAAAATGAAACGAGCTAAGAAGTTGACAGACAAAGAGACAGAGACAATGAATAGGACAAGAGGGCCAGAAGTGAGTAATATAATGGTGGTGGTGGTGTTGGTGGTGGTGATGAGGATGTTCATGGCTTCCAGACGATGGTGGTATCTGCGATGAGGGAAGTGACCACGTAAGGATCCATGTTAGAAGCTGGCCTTCTGTCTTCAAAGTATCCTTTCCCTTCTTTCTGTGTGTCTCTCCCCACTCTCACTGAAGCTCCTCTGTTCGCCACTCCCTGCTTATCACCCATATCAAATTAATGTCAATGTCAATCAATTATGAAAACAATATCTTAGGACTTACACTTACCCATGAGAAGGTGTTAATGTCTGCTGTTTCGTGTTTGCCTGTTAGACGCCTCTCGTTTCCTTCTCCATAAGCAGCTATGTGCTCTTTGTGCCTCAATCCTAGCTTCTCAATCGCCTTCTTTATCACCTCAAATCCTCCCTCCTTTCTCATCGACTTTGTGCTGCCATTTTCCCATCAATTATAATCACCATACTCACCCATTTCTAAATTCCATAACTCATGCTACTTGAAAACCACATCAATCCGGCCAGTTTAACCAGTAAATGTTGAACCAGTGTCTTGACCAGTTCAACCATGGTTTGACAATGGTTTTGATCATTAACTTTTAAATCAGCATCTTTACTAATTGAATGATGATTTTTAACACCTTGTTAAAATTACCATACGTAATAATTTGAATATATATGAACAAATATCAATCATTGTCATAATACCTGTAGTTGGTGTGAGCACCAGCTCCATTCCAGTCTCCCTGAATAGGCTTGGGATCAAAAGAAACCACAACACCAGCAATCTCCGCGATCCTCTGTGCACAAAGGAGCATATCCTCATTAATATTTATAACTTCGTTAGCTTCATTTATAAGCTAATTAAAAAGGTAAAGAGATAAATTGGCTTGAAATTTACCTCCAGAATGTAGCGGGCAACCCAGAGCTCATCTCCAGCAGAGATGCCAACAGCAGGACCGACTTGGAATTCCCACTATGTAAAAGATAAAAAGCACATGATAATCAAAACAAGACGAGAAGATGGTAATAAATAAATAATAATGATAAAGACAGAATCTCTGTGATGATCTTTAATTACCTGGCCAGGCATCACTTCGCCATTGATGCCACTGATATTAATGCCAGCATAAAGACAAGCTTTGTAATGTGAGTTTACTATATCACGCCCATATGCTTTATCAGCACCTACCCCGCAGTAGTACGGGCCCTGTTCACATCCAGTCAAGTTCACTCACACAAGACAATATTAATAATAATAATTAAACACTATTCACTAATTGATTAGGAGGTGGATTCAATGTTTCTTATTAAGACCATAAAACAATGAGAAGTTTTGTACCTGCGGTCCAGGATAGCCCCCAAGTGGCCAACCAAGGGGCCAATTTGTATCTTTCTGCAATAGAGTATACTCTTGCTCAATGCCATACCTGTTTGCACAGGAATTTTCAGTATATTTGAAACCCTAGAAATGTAGAGTTAAATATATTATCTTGAAATTCAGAATATGCATTTTGTACCATGGTTCCTCTGCAACAACATCGGGGTGGCTGAAAATTTTGGCAGCATTATGCCTTTTATTGGTTGGAATGGGCTCTCCAGCTGGAGTGTAAGCATCACACATCACCTAATAAATAGATTTTTACCAGAAGTGAATTGCTGATCCAAAATAGTAGAAGATGACAGATAAAGCATATAGCTTCTTTAATCATAAACTGTTTATTTCTTCACAAAAATTAGAAAGAGCTTACAAGAATGTTTTTGCCTCTCCTAAATGGATCCCTGTAGATTGCTTGTGGGCTTTGAGACAATCATCAAACAGAAAGGGAACTATACTCATAAGTTTCTGAGAGTAATAAAGAAGAAAGCATAGACAGGAAACCAAGACGATGATGAGCATATGGACAAATACTATAAGATGACTTCACTGTCTTCTCCAGGAGCTTGCCCTGTGCTTGACCCATCATAGTTCCACTTGGGAAGTTTTGCAGGGTCACTCACTGGTCCAGAAATAGTCTGCATTGTTTAGATTTTAAAAAGAGGCAAGTAAGTTCGTGTGGCTTTTGCTAGTGGTTCACAGTGAATTAATCAAACATCCATAGAAGAAAACTAAAGCTTTTACCCTGGCTTTGCTTCTGAGGTCCATGCCAGATCCACCGATCCTGTTTGTTCATATGTGAAAAGGATCAATTTTTATCTATCTTTTCAGTAAATAAATCAACCCAACAGCATGATTCTAACAATCATACATAGTCTACTACTCTTTCGTGAGCATGATGGACTAAAAGAACCCATTGGAGTAACAGAAGGAAGAAGAAATCAAAGTCAAAACAAGAATGCTCAGTATTTGGTCAAAGCTCTGCCTTGACGAATAAACCCCATAACAGAATCGAAAGCAAAAAAAAAAAAAACCAGAGAAGAGCCCTGTTTTGTTTTTTTTGAGAGAGATCATGAAAGATAGGAAAGGGGGAAGAAAACTTACCATATGTACTCCGCGATGACTTTCTCAGTCGTATCAGAGAGGTTGAGGTTGACAAGATCTAAGAGAAGAGACATTATTAGTTGGTTAGAAGGAATGGCTTATCAGTAGTAAGATATGAATAGAAGATGGAGGCTAAGGTGTTGATAGGTTATGGACTTTGCTTGGTATGAAGATCCTTTTATAGAATAGTAAGCGGTGTGAAGACTGCATTCAGTTCAGAGACGCAACATTGAACTTGGAAAATGAAAAGTTGGAATCAAATATTCACTTTCAATTATTTATTTATTTTTTGAAGAATAAAGCAGGAAAAAGAAATGAACAGCTTGGCACCAAAAATGGTGGACTACAAGGTTGCATTATGAATGTTAGGTAATAGATAAGAAGTGGGATTGGTTCATTTTATGATATAATATTATATTATGCTTTCCTGGAAGCTAAGAAATGCGAGACATACTTTCAATTCAAGATATGAGGATCATGTCAGTCCACAAAGGTCTTTCTTTCTTTGTTTTTTTTGTTTTTAAAGAATACTTTGGTGCTCCATTCAACAAGCTTTTCTATGTTTCTATCATTAGGCATTTTTCTCAGTCTAAAAGTAAGGTTATTGCCTGAAAAAGTGGCAATAAAATCTCTTAAATTATATAAAAAATAATTTAATATCTTAAAATATCATAATTTTATTAAAATTTTTGAGAACTTATATATCAATAAATTTTAAAATAAAAAATTATTTTATTCTTATTAAAAATAACGAATCTCAATCATTATTTTTGCTTAACGAATAATCATTTTTTATCTATAAATCACAAGAATTAAATAAGAAATAATAATTTGTCAAGTATGCAATTTTATTATTGAAAAATAAGTTTTAATCACAATTTTTATTCTATGAATCATAAGAGTTGAGCAAGAAATTACAACTTGTCAAATATAATTTCTGCTATTGGAAAATAAGTTTTTAAAATAATAAATTTCAATTATAATTTTTGTTTAAGAAATAACAACTTTTATTTAAAAAATTATAAAAATTAAACAATAAACCACAACTTGTCAATAATGATAAAATAATTTTTTTAATTTAAAATTTATTAACACATAAGTCTTTAGATATTTTAGTGAAATTATGATATTTTAAATTATCAGATTATCACTTATATAATTCGAGGATTTTACTGTCACTTTTCCTTATTTGTTTTAATAACTTTAGATATTTATATTTCTATATATAATATAAATTTTTTATAAAGCTACATTACTCATCTTCTAAAAGACTCGAACTCCATGCTTTGCAAGAATTTATACTCTAATATCATATTAAATTAATAATAATGTCCCCCCCCCCCCCATAATAAATTAATAATCCACTAAATATGAGGGCACCGAAATAAAGGACGTTCTAAATAGAGAAAAGGGGATAGGTTTCGTCCCTATAAATTCTGTAACCTTACTAACAATAATAAACCCTAATTCAGCATGCTCATGTCAAGTAGTTTAGGCTTTAGATAGATCCTTATAATCATTGCTTTCTTCATTGACATAAATGGATGAAGGATGAATGAGTAAATTATGATACAAAAAGAATCTACCTATTTGTTCTCCAACAAATATTCACGTAAGCTTCTTCTTTTTTTCATAAATTTATTAAAAATTATAATTTTTAGTTTCTTAACTTTTCCATAATTGTTGATTTATTCTTTAAACTTTGAACCAAAATAACTCAATTCAAGTTTCTTAACTCGTAACAATTCACTTTTTATAATGTTTTGACTTGATATACATAATCTCTAATTTTTTGATTGAATAGAGTACAAGAATTAAGTTGTGCTAAGTTGAAATTTAAGGACTAAATTAATTATTGAGAAGAGAATGTTCACAGATTAAAAGTTGTATTGTATTTGTTTACCCAAAAAAAAGTTGAATTATCATTCAATTTAATTAAGTAAAATTTTAATAAAAATTAAATTATTTAAATTATTAAATAATCACTAATATATTTTGAAATCAATAAATATATTGCAATCTGATTTCTATTTTTTTTAAAAAAATTAAATTATTAAAATAATAATATGTATCATTGTTTTCTATAAGACTTAATACAAATACAGAACCCTAACCACACACACAACGTGTTTTTTTGGAAAGCTCCAGATCTTAAAATTTCAGTATCCAAGGCATTTTTTGATTTTCTAAAGGCAATTAAAATTACAAAGTTAGTTCAATTAATAAGAATTAGACTCATAATCAACAGGGTCATGTGATCAAATTTCACTCTCAACGTGAGAATTTTGTTGTCAAATGATTTGTAAATAATTTTTTAAACACTTTTTGAGAGATATGCCCTGGTCATCATGAACCCTAAGACTTATAACTCATCTAAATTTTATCCATGAAAAAAAAATTACTTACCTCCCTTTATTTATATAATTCATTTTCCCATGCATTTAAAGAAAGATATGTTAGAAAAAATTGAAATCTTAACATACCTAATTGACCATATTAGCATAAGTGTATTAGGCAAAAATTCCACATAATTATGAAGTAATAAACCATAAAATAAATTCGGAGAAACAAAGAGTTATTGTGGAGCAAATAGATTGAAAAAAACGAAATTAGGCATATAAGTTTGGTGAATTAGGCAATGTAGAAGGGGATTTGTGGAGTGTGTTAAGGCAATTAAGATATGAAAATTAGAACACAAGCATAATGCTTGCTTATTTTTGCAAGTAACACTAATGATGTGAAGGTGAATGGTGGTCACACCCACATCTTCATCAAATCTCAATGTCATTACCAATGAATTTCAAGATCAAATCGAACCAGTCAAACCCATGGCCAATTACTTCAATGGCTCGATCTAAACAATTTAATTGTTTTAATTATTGAATCGGGTTGGACCACTTTTGATAGGAAATTAGACTACAAATTACTTAAAAATTGTGAACTTGAGTAGTTGAACTGGACAACCTAAATTTCATATATTTCAAATTATGTAGTAATTTTATTTTTTCTTAAATTTTTATTATTATATACATATATAATTTTTTTTGGTAAATTATACATGTATAAATTTTTAATTTAATTATTATGTCACCCAAGCCTCAAGCTTGAAAGGACTTCAATTAAGACTACTAAGAAACTCTACCCACCTAAGACATAACAAAATAGGAACTACAACCTCCATGGACAAAACATTACACCATACCCTTACACACAGGAGTCATTTCATGAAGAATGACAGTAGTTTCGCCCACACCATGGGCACTTCTCAGAAGCACATTTGCCACTTTCAAGCTTTCTCTATGAGCATGTGATATCTCAATATCCCAATCTAAAAAAAAAAAAAATCCCCCTTGTCTAATTCAGCATGTCCCTACTAGCATTACCAGGCCCTGCGTCCCGCATCAATGCATTAATAGCTTCCAGAGAATCGGAAAAAGTTGAATTTTTGAGAATCCTAACATTTTACAAACCTCCAAACTTGTTTTGATTGCAAAAATTGCAGCAGTAACTTTATTCATTGTCCCACCGGTTTAATAGTTGATCCAACTAGATGGATCATGTAAACTTTGAATCGATGATTTTTTGGCTCAATGTTGGATTTGATTATGAAAACATTAGTCATTACCAAATTGTACAAGAATCCACCATGTCTGCTGCACGTATATCAATGATTTTGTTCCCTTTTATATTTTATTATCTAATTTATTTATAATTATAATAATTCTTGTTCATTTACGTAAAATCCAAGTCACACCCACCATTCCCACCTAAAATTAGTATAGCTTCAAACAGATTTTATATCTATGCCTGCTCTATGACATGTGCATCCCCTTTTTATTTGGCGAGTTCTGGTGGGAAACCCAAGTTACCCAATTTTTATTTAATTTTCAATAACAATTCATTCCAACTTTGGATGCTCTCTTTTTAAATTATTAATTAATTGATTGAATTTTTTTTATTGTATATAAATGTTATTCTCTTAAAAGCAATCTTATTTGATGTAGAGTCAACTATTAAATATGAACACTTCTCTTAAAAAGGATATGAACCTTAATTTATTATATTGTGAGAAACTAATCAATTATAATAGACTCAATCCTACTGTTGAATTGATTGAATGTTTAAATTTAAAGTATATAATCATTTGTTCTATTTATAGGGGATAGATTATCAAGTTCTATCCTTTTTATAAGGCAGTCATGTGATTTGCGTATTGATCTTTACTCTTTTATTATATTAAATAATGGAAATTAATGTTGAAGTATTTTACTTATATATATATATATGATAAGAATAAAATTTATAAATAAGCATGTATTTGTCAGATTTGCAAAAAGACAAACTTGTAAACTTATCTTTCCTGTTCCGATAGCATCATATTCGTATGGATTCTTTTTCAGTTTTTCTTTTTCTACTGTAAGTGTATAACACCTTTTTTTTTTTTTTGGTGGGGGTGGGGGCATGTCCGTTGTCCCCGATATACACATGATTCATGAACGACTATAACAGCAATTTTTTTAAATTTTTTTCACCTTTGCAAAAAAACTAGCAAGTGAAAATTTAATTTGTGAAGAAGAAAGAAAAAGGAAAAAGAATTGTATATCACCATTGTGAAGTTATCTATATATATTTTCTCATTTAATTTTTCATTTTCAAAGTGAAAATGGCCAACAACTACTACAATTATTATTTCGAGGAATTTTATCAACTATTAATGAAATAAATTTTATAGCCTTATCATTGAGCCAGATGAAAGAGATTTGATTTTCTTTTTTAATGCAAAAAATGAGATAATACATGATTGATTTAAGAAAAGGAATTGACAGACTGAAGGTGTTATAAAACCCTGTAGACATTGGGTTGCTCAAGAACACTGATTGATCCCTGTCGTTTTGTTGCAAGCCTACAATTCGTTTTTGACGTTCAGCCAAAATTGCGCAACGTGACAACAATTATTTATAGAATATCTTCACTGTGTTTGGAATTTTTTTTTATAAGAAAATATTGATGATATGGAAATTTGGAATTGGATTTTTTACCGTCAAAATATATCTCATTGGGGCCTTGGTTCATGAAAAGGTTAAAAAAAAAAAAAAGACGGAGTTTCAATAATAAAACCAAGGCAGACAAGAATATCATATTTTAAAGATGAGAGAGACT